GAAGAAAATGCAGGCATCATTCTCAAGTAACATGCAGGAATCCGAATAGGCCTTGACTCAACGGTGACTTGATTAATACTTTGCCATAATTACGATTTAATAAATGCTAAGAGAGTCTATTTCATCGAGCCACTCTATTAGCCTCCACTCTTTAAATGTTACTCTCTGTTGATACTCAGAAAGAGATTACCTTGTTATCACTACGCACATTAAATGACATTTTTGATATCAATTCTTTCACTTGTTGAGTAAACCCAGTAAACAGATACAAAATTATGAAATTAGATGCATCCTTTATACTGTAATTAACATGAGTGAATACGTGTATCAGAATAACCTTGACTCATCGTGACTTGATACACATTGGTATAAATACGAATTAATTAATATTGGTAAACAGCAATGACATTGACTCAACGTGACTTGATACTCTTTTTGGCATAACTACGAGAACTAATAATATTGGTAAATGGATTCCACCGAGTTGAGCCGCTTGTTTGACAGACTGTTCGTGTGCCAAACTATGTTCATACACAAAGACATTACTTTTTCATCAAGGAATCGAGAAAAATGTAAAACCCTAAAACTGAATCCTTCCTAGTATATATCCTAAAACTTCTTTGTTACTTGATCCATACGTCAGTGCTTTTTATATCACATGTTTTAACAGTTTATCATACCATTTCAATAACTTAGATATTATATACTCTATGATCAGTTCCTTGACCGAATTCAAAAGAGTTAGATTTACAACATTGTGGAAATTTCCAGAACAGAACACAACGCAGAACCAAACTCCCAAGTGCCTTTAGAATATGAAAACATTAAACAACATCAGCGAACGAGCGAGGAGCTTTTGCAGCCGAGACCCTCTCCTTCTCCTTCTTTACCAGAGTTTCCATGTCTGCACACTTCTGCTTCAAGCCCTTCAACTCTTCCTCCATTTCTTGCAGCCCAGTCTCACAAACTTCCTCATTCTCCTTCTTCTCTGAAACCTCAACAAGCTTCTTCTCCAACCAATCCAACTTAAATCCAGCATCTCTCATGAATCCCAGTGCAGCATAAGCATCATAAAAATCATCTTTGGAGAGTTCATGAGGTGAGTGGCACATAGACTCAATCAGACTTAGAAGAAAACTCATGTAGGCTGTCTTAAGATTTTGGTTCTTTGGACGAAATTCAGTTGCGATCTCTGGGTGTCTTTCAAACACAAGGCTCACAGATTTTGCCTGCGATTGAAAGTGTGAACAAAGTAAATCCATATCAGAGTACTATAATCAACAACACATGTTATAGGACACACCATGTTGTCTGCCTGAAATTTCTACATTCAAAATCCGTAACATTCAAATCTCTTACCTGTGAAGGAAGAAGTTGAAACCCATTAGCATCTATAATTTCTGTTATTGTTGAAGTTTCTTCTGCTACAACTAATTTGCCGATAACTTCAAGAACATCTATTTCAACGGCGATTTTGAGTTCCCCATTTACCAGAAATCCGCTATCTTTGGCATGAAGTTCATTCAGGGGAAACAAGGATGGACGACCCCAGTTAGTAGCGTTTTGTTCAAACCACTGTTTTAATTCTGTAAAATCACAATAACATGCAGAATTCATCTAATCAGTTCATTTACATCGTGTTACACAAAATCAATCTTGCATCAAGACAATGAAGGATTTAAAAATTTTAACCATCCTTTGTCAGAATTAATGAAACAGATTATCTAGCATCATCGTTACGGTCTAATTGATTTTTTTTTTTGTCACCGTAAATAACTTGGAGACATGAACTCTTTCAAACAGAGCAGTAGGAGGAAATATTTACCATAGCGTCGGGAGAGTTTTTCCAAACGTTGATTTACCATAGTAAAAGACCACTTTGCGTGTCTCCTCCATCCAATAGGCAATGATCCATGATTGGCAACTTCCAGATATAGAGACAAGTAATCAACATTATTTCCCTTGGGATAGGCAACAAGATGCCTACGTAGGAAACACGAAAAATAAACACAATCACTAAAACGAAGGAGAATATCCCGTAAATTGGATAAAGACATGAGAAAGACAAACCTATCTTCTTACCATTTACAGCCATCGACGAAGAAATCATCAGAATAGATTTTCTCAGATTTCAAGGAAGAGAAATTGTTAATCACCCAGGTGATCTTCTTATTAAATTGCTTCCCCATTGATTATTGATGAATATTCCTCTGTAATCAAACTATGCAGAGAAGAAAAACCCTAGAATCTGAGTGCCACATAAAACAAAGCCTTTATAAGCCATTTTGAGCAGCATAACCAAAAATGAAATTAAGATTCCAATATGGAATTTAAGCCTATATAAGCTCAAACCACCCTAAAACATTTCTTTGCTAAGTGCGAATCCTTTACATCACGTATCTCGTTCACCTCCTCCTAGGGTTACTTGGTGCATAAGCATTTTAGATTCCATTTTTTAGTCCTAGGGTTAACTCCATCGATTCTTCTTTCTCCTTCTCTCCATCTCACTCAGATTCTTCTCTCACTCTTTCTTTATCTGCAACTTCC